AAAAAAGGGGGGGGGGTCATATTATACATGAGATCGTATTATACATGAGGTCGTATTATACATGAGATCATATTATACATGAATAAATACGGTATGTCAGTATACAGTATAAACAGCTGTTCTGACAGCCCCATAATCATCACCTCCAGTAATGAGGTCTACCACCATGAAGACAGAGGAACTGTCCACACAGTTCAGAGACAGAGTTGGGTTTTAAAATGATCCCATACCCAGAACATCCCAGAAAGTATAAATACATAACTTATACTGACAGATGATGGATGTCACCACAGCAAACATGGTGAATGGACTGAACCTATATCATGTCCTGTCAGACTCCAAAACACTTTACACTTTAATCATTCACACACTGATGGTGGTAGGTACACACACAGATGGTGGTAGGTACACACACTGATGGTGGTAGGTACACACACAGATGGTGGTAGGTACACACACTGATGGTGGTAGGTACACACACTGATGGTGGTAGGTACAATGTAGCCACAGAGGCAAGGCTGCCATGCGCGACAGCAAGCCATGCCAAGAGAGCATTGTCCACCAAAGCTCTCAGTGTGTGAGGTGAGTGTGAATCAGAGAAGGATCCATGAGACCAAAGTCCTGATGGAKCCAAGCAGCTCCTCTGCAGATACTGGAGTTTTTGTCCACAGGACCTCTAGWAGCTGCACAGAGCTGGGCTTCATCAAACAGTGACAGGAAAATACTGGATGTAGTTTAAAAATAAAACATGACTAACAGGGCTGGGCGGTATGACCTCACTTCATATCAGGGTATAAAGTGAATCCCTTCACAGTAACTGTATATATCGCGGTAGAAAATGATCATAAAAAGCAAAGATAATGTCATTTTAGAGCATTTATTTAGCAGAAAACTAATCATAATCAAGCCCAGTATTTTTGCTGTAGTGCAAATGAACATAACAGAAGAAAACAAAAGAAAGTTTTACATGTATTGCAAAACAATTTCAACAACAAACAAAACATTTCTTAAAATTTTCAACACCATGAAAATAAAGTGTAAGTTATAACCAGGACTTCAAGTTAACTTAGTTATTTAGACATAAAAACATTTTAAGTTGTTATAAGTTGTCTAAAATATTATAGTGTGACAGGACCTGAAGTAAATACTTTTACAGCCCACGATAACAAGACCATGTTGTGGACTGTAGGCAGATCCGGGACACTGTCAACTGGATCTTCTGTGAGCAGATGCTGGTGTGCTACATCAGTGTGTTCAGGGACACCTTTTGGCCTAACGGGACCCTGGCTCCACACGGGAAGGTCCGAACTGATCCTGAACGCAGTGAGACCAAGGAGCGGGCTCAGCAGAAACTACTGGACAATATTCCAGGTCAGGAACTTGTGCAAGCAGGACACTGTCCAACGTGAGCAGGTTGTTAGTGCTCTTACAGAGAGAGTCTGGTTATTTCTGAAGACATGTTGTGTCTAATGATTATCAGTAATTGTCCTTCAGTAGTAGGTGTTTACGACACACATGGTGATGCTTTTTTCTCAACCAAATAACATTGTGATGGCACAAGTGTGGACCTCCTCAGACCACTGAATGTATCAATGTGAGGAAATGTTTGTGACTGATCACAGCAGTGGATGGAATGTGTGTCTGCCATCATTCTACATGTATCTGTACTGATGTCATGGAGAAGCTGTGCATTAAAGCCTTGTGTTTGCTCTGTCATCCATTCAGAAACAACACTGAATTAGTCTTATTTCACTTAAACATGTAACCTGCCACATCAAACTGATGATTAAGATGGTCAAACTAAACTAAGCTATTTTCTAATTCCTGGCTTCTTCAGTTTGGTATCTGGATCATCCAGATAGAACCAGTGGTTCCACAGATATGACTTGATTTGTCTCTGGAATCATGATTATCCCTAGAAAACTGGTCTGAGATTTAATTATGTCTTTTGAAATAAGAAACCTGAAACCATATTTAAATATCAGGATTTCCCAGCTGGTATTAAAATGGTTTCATTAGCATGAAGAAAAAGTATCAAATTTCAGGCTTGTCCACACAAAACTATCATTAGTTGTTGGTTCTGCTCAGAAGAGTGCGCCAAAACATTATTTAGGGTTATATTTCCTATAGTTACTTCAGTGGATCCATTGATAAAAGTACTTTTATTCATTGTTTTGACAAAATTCAATTTTTAATTTTTCAACCAGTACATCATAGCTAGCATTTGTCTCGCTGCAACACCTTGTGACTGATCGTCAGTCTGATGTGGCAGGTCACATATAATGTGTAGTCCATACACAGGTTTAATACTTAACATATATATTCTACCTGTAAAGTATATTCTACCTGTAAAGTAGGCAAAACAAGTTTGCAGATTAATAAGTATTATTGAAGAAAAAGTATCACTAATGTTGATAATATATTTCCAGTCAGGACCCTGTTCCACAGTCAGTACAGAGCTTAGTTTAGTGTGAGTCCAGGTGTCATAAGCCCCAGGGAAGCCGGAGCGCCAGCCCCGCCTCCGGAACCCCTCCAAGCCCCATGTCCGCCCGCAGCCCAGGCCCCAGTGGTTTCAGTGGTTCTAACAGTAACTAACAGTAACTGGTACAACCCTGGGCTCCTCAGCTGAGGTTTTGTTCTTCAAACCCAGACTTGGTGCTACAAGGACCCCATGTAGCAGGATGACAGCATGAATTGTTTTCAATAGAATGTCCGCCCGCCATGCATCACACCCGATCTGTGGTGGGTCCACATGCAGGTGGCCTCCTGTAGTCCTGTCGAGCTGAGCCCGGCTGAGCCCCAGGAGCCTAGGCTCGACCACCAGGTACTCATAGACGAGCTCCCTCCCCAGGCTTGGCTCAAGGGAGGTGCCCCGGTTTCCCTTTTCCAGGCGAGGTTTCCTGATGCATGTGATGTTTCCTCATCAAGGGTTCTGGCTCTCTTTGTCTGACCCCTCCTCCAAGGCCTGTTTGCCACAGGTGACCCTACCAGGGGCTAATGCCCCAGACAACATAGCACCAGGATCACAGGGTACTCAAACCCTCCACCACGTTTAGGTTTCTGCTGAGGGGAGTCTGGGTGTCTTGTTCACCAGTGATGGTAGGATGGAGCGGGATCGACAGATTGGGACCCATCCTCAGTGATGAGGGTGTTGCTCCGGTCAGTCGTAATGAAGGAAGAGCTGAGTTAAAAGGCAAAGCTCAGGATTCACTGGTCTGTCTTTGTTCCAACCCTCACCTGTGGTCATGAGGCATGGATCATGACAGAAAGAACCAGATCCCAGACACAAGCTCAGCCTTAGAGATAGGATATGAGCTCTGTCATCCAGGGGGAGCTCAGAGTGGAGCTGCTGCTCCTCCACATYGAAAGGAGTCAGTTGAGGTGGTTCATCTGATCAGGAAGCCTCCCTTTAGAGGTGTTCCACACGTCCCACTGGGAGGAGGCCCCAGGGAAGACCGAGGACTCCCTGGAGGGATTATGTATCCTCTCTGGTCTGGGAACACCTCGGGGTCCCTCAGAACGACCTGGAAGGTGTTGCTGGGGAGAGGGAGGTCTGAGTTTCTCTCCTGGACCTGCTGCCCCCATGATCTGACTACAGATAAGTGGAAGAAGATGGAGATGGAGAGATGTATGTCCGGTGTGATCAGATGGATTCGTTGAACCACCTCAACAGACACACTCATGTGGTAACACAAGGTTTGGTTGAGAAAACAGTGACAAACTAAACAACTGTTTCTCACACAGGTGTAGAGGTTTAATATTAGTTTGAAAACATTGTTAGCTTAGCCTGGACAAAGACTGTTGAACTTTACATCTTCTGTACTAATTACTAATATCTATTAAACTGATCATCASAACAACAATGACCAGAGTATTCCTTGACGGTTAAACAGTGTGGAATGTGTTTCTGTTCTTTTATTTTTAATCAGATGCACTCGCAAATCTAGTTGGCCAGCAGAATGCCAGATTTGGAATCATCAAGATCTTCAACGCCCTGCAGGAGACCAGGGCCAACAAACATCTTCTCTACGTAAGACGAGCACAAACGTGAAACCTGATCCTATCTCTCACTACAACCCTAATGACAACGCCTCTCTGTCTTTGTTAGGTGTTGATGGAAATGTTACTGAAGGAAGTGTGTCCTGAGCTCAGAGCAGCCGTGGACAACATCTAAAGCACAAAGTGTCTTCACACATCGAGGCTCTCTGGTCTTGGACTGATCCGGACTGCTAGCTGACACTGAGACGTTAAAGGTCAAAGTTCTACAAACAGAGGCGGTGCTGATCAGAGCTGGGACACGATCAGCTGAAGTGTGGTGCAGATTTCAGCCTGAAGCAGGAGAAATCACTGAGGCACTCACACTACACTTACACATCTGGAACAGAACTCTTTACTCTACTTTGGAGATTGTGTCGTACACACAATTATTACTGTCCCCTCCTAGTGACACTGAAGGTTAATGCTAGAGCAAATTGAAGATATTTGTTTGTTCTTGTGTGAAACATGGCAGTCTAGTCAAAGAGCCTACTGTTGGCAGATAAATTGTGTAGAGCAGAACTTGGAACAAACACAGGTTGTATGGACGACAGAGTTCAGATTGTGTTGTTGTACCACGGACCTCCGAACATTCCTGCACACAAACTGAGCAACACTTGTGTTCTGTGATTCTTGTTGAGGCTTATAATTGTGCAATATAATTTCATGTTAAAGTACTTGTGATGATTTTATTTAAGATTACTATTGATAGATTTTATTTTTACCAAAAAATGTTTAGAAAGCATTTATATGAGCAATAAATCACCGATACAAACTGATGTTTGGTTTGTCGTTTCTTCTTTTGGACTGAGGTGTTCTCCATCTTCTTCCACTTATCTGTAGTCGGGTCATGGAGGCAGCAGGTCCAGGAGACAAACCAGACCTCCCTCTCCCCAGCAACTTAATAATTTTGGACAATCACATGACTTGGCCTGAATTGTTTACATCTGTGACAACGTTCGAAATAACGTATAATATCTCATRAATTATAGCAGCACGAACAGCCGTTTGAACTGCACAAACCTGCTCAAACAAAGCACTACAAAATTCAACTAGTTTGGTTCATTTCTGTTTCATTTTGGAGCGAGCAGGTGGGATGGTGACCCCCTGAATGACTCTTATAGATCTTTAATATACACAAAACCATAGCAGCACAAACGACAATTTCAAGTGCACAAATAGGGGTGTAAGAAAATATCGATACACTGAAATATCGCGATATTTCATTTCCCGATACTGTATCGATATTCTAAAGCCCTGCATCGATTTTTTATTAAGGTTTAAAATGTCAACTTTCCTGCCAGCCGTTCATTTTACGTTGTAGTTCAGCCTCTGACCACTAGTTGGCAGCAGTGAGCCAGACATTTGACTCGCTATTAAGTGTTGGGTGACCATATTG